CCATGTGGACCCTGCCACTGGGGCCTTCGGTGGAGCCCCCTACGGGGCCACGAACCGTAAGAGTGGTGCGCCAGAATGGAGCGGCGCCGCCATGTGGACCCTGCTACTGGGGCTTTCGGTGAAGCTCCCTATGGGGCCACGAAGCGTGAAGTTCGGTGGAGCCCCCTACGGGGCCACGAACCGTGTGAGTGGTGCGCCAGAATGGAGCGGCGCCGCCATGTGGACCCTGCTACTGGGGCTTTCGGTGAAGCTCCCTATGGGGCCACGAAGCGTGAAGGGTGCGCCAAAATGGGGCGGCGCCACCATGTGGACCCTGCCGTAGGGCCTTCGGTGGAGCTCCCTATGGGGCCACGAACAGTGTGAGGGGTGTGCCAAAATTTGAAGACGCCGCCATGTGGACCCTGTCGTAGGGCCTTCGATGGAGCTCCCTATGGGGCCACGAACCGTGCGGATGGTGCGCCCAAATGGGGCGGCGCCGCCATGTGGACCCTGCCACTGGGGCCTTCGGTGGAGCCCCCTTTATGGGGCCACGGACCGTGTGAGGGGTGTGCCAAAATGGAGCGGCGCCGCCATGTGGACCCTGCTGCTGGGGCTTTCGGTGGAGCTCCCTATGGGGCCACGAAGCGTGAAGGGTGCGCCAAAATGGAGCGGCGCCGCCATGTGGACCCTGCCATTAAGGCCTTCGGTGGAGCTCCCTGTGGGGCAACGAACCGTGTGAGGGGTGCGCCAACATGTGGAGGCGCCGCAATGTGGACCCTGCCACTTGAGGCCTTCGATGGAGCTCCTATGGGGCCACGAACCGTGTGAGGGGTGTGCCAAGATGGGGCGGCGCCACCATGCGGACCCTGCCACTGGGGCCTTCGGTGGAGCTCCCTACGGGGCCACGAACCGTGTGAGTGGTGCGCCAAAATGAGGTGGCGCCACCATGTGGACCCTGCCACTTGGGGCCTTCGGTGGAGCTCCCTATGGGGCCACGAACCGTGTGAGGTGTGCGCTGAAATGGGGCGGCGCCGCCATGTGGACCCTGCCACCGGGCCTTCGGTGGAGCTCCATATGGGGGCACGAACCGTGAAGGGTGCGCCAAAATGGAGAGGTGCCGCCATGTGGACCCTGCCGTAGGGCCTTCGGTGGAGCTCCCTATGGGGCCACGAACAGTGTGAGGGGTGCTCCAAGATGGGGCGGCACCGCAATGTGGACCCTGCCACTGGGGCCTTCGGTGAAGCTCCCTATGGGGCCACGAACCGTGTGAGGGGTGCGCCAAGATGGGGCGGCGGCGCCATGTGGACCCTGCAACTGGGGCCTTCGGTGGAGCCCCCTTATGGGGCCACGAACCGTGTGAGGAGTGTGCCAAAATGGAGCGGCACCACCATGTGGACCCTGCCACTGGGCCTTCGGTGGAACCTCCCATGGGGCCACGAACCGTGTGAGGGGTATGCCAAAATTTGGAGACGTCGCCATGTGGACCCTGCTACTGGGGCCTTCGATGGAGCTCCCTATGGGGCCACGAACAGTGTGAGGGGTGTGCCAAAATGGAGTGGCACCACCATGTGGACCCTGTCACTGGGGCCTTCGGTGGAGCTCCCTGTGGGGCAACGTACCGTGTTAGGAGCGCGCCAAAATTAGGCGGCGCTGCCATGTGGACCCTGCCACTGGGGCCTTCGGTCGAGCTCACTACGGGGCCACGAACCGTGTGAGGGGTGCGCCAAGATGGGGCGGCGCCACCATGTGGACCCTGCCACTGGGGCCTTCGGTGGAGCTCCCTACGGGGCCACGAACCGTGTGAATGGTGCGCCAAAATGAGGTGGCGCCACCATGTGGACCCTGCCACTTGGGGCCTTCGGTGGAGCTCCCTATGGGACCACGAACAATGTGAGGGGTGCGCCAAGATGGGGCGGCACCACCATGTGGGCCCTGCCACTGGGGCCTTCGGTGGAGCTCCCTACGGGGCCACGAACCGTGTGAATGGTGCGCCAAAATGAGGTGGCGCCACCATGTGGACCCTGCCACTTGGGGCCTTCGGAAGAGCTCCCTATGGGGCCACGAACCGTGTGAGGGGTGCGCCAAGATGGGGCGGCACCGCCATGTGGACCCTGCCACGGGGGCCTTCGGTGGAGCTCCATATGGGGCCACGAAGCGTGAAGGGTGCGCCAAAATTAGGCGGCGGCGCCATGTGGACCCTGCTACTTGGGGTTTCGGTGGAGCTCCCTATGGGGCTGCAAACCGTGCGAATGGTGCGCCAGGATGGGGCGGCGCCGCCATGTGGACCCTGCCGCTGGGGCCTTCGGTGGAGCTCCCTACGAGGCCACGAAACGCTGCACTGGGTGCGCCGAAACACAAAACATGCGGAGGGCCGAGGCAGGGATGGGAGGAGGAGGAGGAGGAGGAGGAGGAGAAGGAGGAGGAGGAGGAGGAGGAGGGGGAGGAGGAGGAGGAGGAGGAGGAGGAGGAGGAGGAGGAGGAGGAGGAGGCGGAGGAGGAGGAGGGCGATGAGGGAGAGGAGGAAGGTGGTATGCGGGGCGGTCTCCTCAATACGAAGACCCGACATCACAGGATGGTTGGGAAAAAAACAAGACGCCACAAGAGGGCTCCAAGAGCGCTCGCAAGAGAGCTCCAAGAGTCAATACTCACTAAGTCCCGTCGGTTGCAAAAGCGGTTGCAAAAGCATGTTCGCAGTCTCGCTAGCTCGGGCTTCCGACACCCCAAGAGAGCCCAAGAGGCCCCCAAGATCGACCCAAGGCGCCCAAGAGACACTCAGGACTGCCTGGAGCCCCAGGACCCAAGCGGCCCCCAAGACTGCACAAGAGGGCCCCAAGACGTCCCCAAGAGGGGCTCAAGAGGAGCCCGAAATTACAGTTCGAGCCCTCCACCCCTCGACGACCCTCGAGACCGCCAGCAGGCACCCAAGAGACACACAAGAGACCCCAAGAGACTCCCAAGAGACCCCAAAGAGGCCACAAAAGGACCCCAAGAGGCCTGGAGAGACTTCAGAATTGCCTCCAAGAGGCCCACGCGAGACCTCCCAAGAGGCACCGATATGCATCCAAGAGGCCTCTGACCCACAACCCTGGCACGGTGGCGAACAGTGCCCCAGGCCACTAGATGTCTACCCTCTGGGACCGCCAGCATGCCCCCAGGGGGGCCCAAGAGACTTAAAAGATGCATCCGAAAGGCCCCCGAGAGGCCTCCACAGAGACCCCAACAAGCCTCCAAGAGTCCGCGGCCTTTCTGGGGCCTCCCTCCTGATCCCCCATTCAGGGTCGGCACAAACGGCCGTAAGGCCTCTCGAATGGAATTTTGAAAAACAGTCGATCTTCGCTGCTCGCGTGCCACTCAACACGTACACCCCCAGACCCTCGATACCAGCCCTAGTCGTCTTCGATCGTAACCCCCTTTGAGGGTACATCTTCCTTGCCAGCCACGCGCAGCTGGCGAGGCCCCTAGAACTGGGAAAAAGGGGAGAAAAGGGGGAAGGGAGAGGAAACGTTATGTGGGAACTCATGGGAGCAACCCATATCATCCTGCTGGTTCTTACGGATCGACGCCAATCGACGCTAAATCGACGCTAATCGACGCTAAATCGACGCCACCTCATCGACTACCAAACGCTAGTCGACACTAAAGCACTCTAAACCTGAAATGACGTGGGCATAGAAAGCTTCAACGATTTGCTACCTGAGCAACGAGAGGGGACGAGGGCACGAGGTAGAATGGAGAATTGAGGGCGGAAAGGATTTAGCAGGAAGAGGAAGAAAAAGAAATAGAAAGATTGGCAGGCGGACGCTAACGGACGGGTCAGGCGGGTGGACCCCAACGGGCGAATCGGGCGGGCGGACCCTAATGGGCGGGTCGGGCGGGCAGGACATTGAAGCGACCCGGCGGGCTTCCAAAGAAGTGACAGGGTGGGCATAACTCCTCCCTGTCGCACCCCGAGGCCGCTCGAAAGAGCGGGCAGGGCGTTAGACTTCCTCACCACTTATGACCCTGAAGCCTAGAAACTGGTAACAACTTCACAGATGGAGGGCGGGTGACTTTCAAATGTGGCGCTCGCCATAGCGTCGTGCACATTCGTGAAAAAATGTACAAGAGCTTCACGGATTGAGGGAAGGTGTTTTTCAAAATGTGGCTCTCGTCTCAGAGCCCCGCATATTCGTTTTTTAACTTGCAGACATTTTACAAGTTAAAGGCGAGTGGTTTTCAAATGTGGCTCTCGCCTTAGCGCCGCGCACATTCGTTGTCAAAATCTGCAAGAGCTTCACAGATTTAAGGCGGTTCGGTTTCAAACTGTGGCTCTCGCCCCAGCACCGCGTACATTCGTTTTGAAACTTTTCAAGAGTTATTCGGATTCCCATGGTCAAAGTGCCAAAAATGAAGTTTTGGAAGGACTCCTGATTTTGAGGGCGCACCAGTTACATTGATTCGCAGTGTTGAGGTCCCAGGAATGGTGTTCTGGCAGGAGGGTGCTTTGGCACGCTTCAGGATCTTCAAACGGTTCTCCCAAACGAGGGAGTTCCCTCAGTGGAAATGGACCCTTCTAGGGGCATATGAAGAGGGAACTTGGAGGGACGGTTTACTCCAACATCGTTGACCAGTCTTGGATTCCCACTGGTCCTCCTCCTCCTCCTCCTGATCCCCATCCTCCTCCTCCTCCTTCTCCGCCTCATCCCTCCTCCTCCTCCTCCTCCCTCCTCCCTCCTCCCTCCTCCCTCCTCCCTCCTCCCTCCTCCCTCCTCCCTCCTCTCTTTCCCTCATCCTCCTCCTCGTCCTCCTCCTCCTCCTTCTCCTCGGATGGCTCGCAGCTGCATGGATCCCTGCAGCCCGCGCGGCGGCCTCCCGGCAGTCGCAGCCCCAGGCCTCGCACGCGCGGGGGAGGGTCTGCGCCTCCCCTCGCTGTACCCTCCTCCTCCTCCTCCTCCTCCTCCTCCTCCTCCTCCTCCTCCCTCTTCCTCTCCTCCTCCTCCTCCTCTCCTCTCCTCATCCTCTCCTCCTCTCATCCACATCCT